TTCAGCGTTAGTGTCACCTTTACACTTTTTGTAGATAAAATACCACAGATAATCTCGCACAACAATGGTCAATCTTTCCAGTAAGTCGATTGCACCGTGAACAAAGCTCAGAGCAATGAACAGTTGAAGACTCGTCAGTTCTGCTTGCATGACGCGAAAAACGATCGCAAATGCGCTGTATAGAACATTCAATAGGATATGGGAGTCGCCGGGATGGAGAAAATCGATCCTTTGGGCCGCCAATCGGACGATGACCTTCGGTACAGCGGTCACCAAAGGAAGTGCGCCAGCTATAACCGCCCTGTTCGTCTCATTCTGCTGATCGTATAATGGAATTAATACGTAAACAAGAACTAAAGCGATAGGAATCCCAAAAGCCAATTGCGCTGCGAGTATAGAAGAAACCTTGAGGATTTTTCTAAGTTTTCTTCCTCGATCCCTAGCCGTTCTTTTAACAATTTCTCTTCCCACTAGAACAGAGTTCATCAGAACCATAGCTAGAAATAAAGCGTTTAAAGGAAAAGACATCCATAACTTCTTGTATATTCCAAAGACTTGGAGGTACAGCCTGTAACAGGTATCGAAGAATGCTCCCAGTAGATTTAGAACTAATAGATTAAGTCTTTTCACTAATGGCCAGCCAAACATTGTGAATCAGAAGAAATGACCACATCTGGATTATATATGCTTCCACTGTCTCGGCTGTCACAATAATAGCTTGAATCTTATGAGGTAACGAGTTCCAGTGACCATGTAACTGCCTATCGTAGCAAAGATCAACAGAATTAAAATCCAAAACTAAAATCAATAGAGCCAGCGAGCCGAGAGCTAAACCTCCTACAATTTGAATAAAGAAAACACATTTCACGGCCTTCCAAAGCGACATCCACCATCTTGGCGGCCGAGATCTCCTCCAGCCCATGTTACTAACGTCTCCTAGCGGTGGATCGTACTCCTGAAAAATTGTATCATTATCGACATTATCAAAGTTTTTGAAATCCTCCAAAGGGTCCCTTCCTTTTATCAGCGGAGCATCTTCAAGAAGTCCTTGTCCCTGATAAGACTGAATCACATCGGCAGTAAAGGTTTCCGCCACGTAAGCAAAATAGCTCTCAATTGAAAAGGACGCCATGCATTCGACTGAATTCCGTTTGTGCCAGAAGACTGTGTTATGTAATAAAGATTTTAAGGACCCACAGCGGCACCTATCACAGATACAAATTGAAACATCGAAGTTGGGAAACTAAAAGACTTTGTTAACCCGCAACATGCCAACTAAGCATATATGCATAAAAATGAACGAAGTCATTTTAGCGAGCAATTGTGGTGAATTATTGGGGCTTATGACCTGTGTTTCATTTCAGATAACTTTGTTAACGTATAGTTTGAGTCAGTGAAAGAATTTGGTGAGTTGTATTAAAGGATATGAAAACTTAAATTTCGAGTTTTTATTGTGTGTGGTTTTTTAAAAATGGCGGCGTGCGAAATATCTCCTAAAGCATTCTGTGCGACTGGAAGCTATGAAAACGATGTGGAAATCGAATTTATCGACGACGACAAACACAGAAGACGAAAATAAAACGAAAAACTCACAAGAACACTAGGAAGCGACGAAAATAGAAAATGCTAACAAAGTAAACTTACAAACACGTAGGGACTTCAGGCTGGCTCGATGAAACCCAATAACAGGAGA